TCCACTAGATTGAATATTTTACAGATTACAGATTCCAATCATACACCCAATCTACCACAAGACCCAAATTCCAGATCTTGCACCTAAACATTCACCAAGAACCAAATTCCAGTTCTTGAACCAACCTGCAGCCAAATTTCAGCTACAGAACCTGTGCCCAACAATTCCAGACACACACCACCCAAGAACCAAGTTCTAGTTCTTATACCAACCTGCAGCCAAATTTCAGCTACAGAACCAGTGCCCAACAATTCCAGACACCCACAATACAGTAAAGAAATGTAAAGAAACAAAGAGAAGAAACTAGAACACTCAAACCCGGATTATGCAGCTCTACAGAATGAGTTTCTTCACAAAAGAAATGCTAAAATTGCCTCAAGAAAGAACTTTGAAAAACTTCACAAAACTTGCATGATTCTTTCTTGAAAGTAGCTCTTATAATTGCTTGATTGATTGCTCAAAGGTTTATTTTAAAAGACTGAAGCAATCCTGTTTATATAGAGGTTTGTTCTAATTGCTAGTTTAATTAATCTATTAAAACAATCTTTTAATTTGTTAAAAGTTTTGAATTAATCTGTTAAAACTTCTTTTAATTTGTTAAAATGTTCTTGATCATTTTCCAGATTTGTTTTAACTAATACGACAACGTTTCAATTGATTAACACACTTTGTAAAAAATCCTTTAAGTTGTTTTAATCGATTAATTCGCATTTTAATCGATTAAAATTCTGCCAAATATTTTCATAAAACTTTCTAAGTGATTTTAATCGATAACCGCCAGTTTTAATCAATTAAAACAGTTAGCAAAAATTCTCTTAAATTGTTTTAATCAATTAATTCGATTTTACATTGATTAAAATTCTGACATGACACCTTTCAAAAATTTTCAAGTTGTTTTAATCGATTATTTTGAGTTTGTATCGATTAAAATACTGACATAACATTTTTCAAAACACTTCAAGTTATTTTAATCGATATCGAGTTTGTATCGATTAAAATACTGCCAGAACACTTTTCAAAATATTTTAAGTGATTTTAATCGATTATTTCGAATCTATATCAGTTAAAATACTGGCAGAAGGTTTTCAAAAATTTATTTAATGAAAACAATCGATTAATTCGAAGATATATCGATTAAAATAGTTTCAATGAATGTTTTAAAAAGTTTTAATTGATTATGTGGAAAACCTATCTGTTAAAAACCTGTTATGTAAGTGTTAAGAATATTTTAACTGATAAAGCTCATATAATATCAGTTAAAACAATTTCTTAAAAACCATTTAGCCGATTACTTTGGTTTTTAACAGATTAATCATCTTTAGAGGCATTTTCAAAATCTTTTAAATGATGAAACCTCATGCAACAGAGAGATGTGAATGATTATACATATGTATAGATGGAGACTCACTAATCACTTTACCCTTTTAACCAAGTAACGTTTGACTTCAACAGAATAGCCTTTGACTTCATTTGACTTCATCAAATCAACAAGATCTTCGTTTTATCAAATGATTCAAATAAGATCTTCATCACTTTCAAACATGAGTGGCTAACTTCATTCTATTGGGATTGAGTTCACTTCCTTTGAACTCTTTTATATCATGGTAATATTTTGATATATTAATCTATGTTTTGATGTTGTTATTCTTATCCTTTGTGCTTTGGAATGATCTATTCTTGATGTTTGGGGTATGATTGGAAAATATATCTTGAACCCTAGATCACGGTAAGAATATTTGTTATGTTAATTGCCAGAAATGGAATGAATGTATCAATTGCTTAACACCCTAAACCTAATGCTGAAAAATCTCTTAATTGTGTGAAGAATCAACATTTATTAGGTTTTCTTATGAATTTCATGTGTGAGGAATCAACATGGATGATTTGAGTAGGTGACATCAACATTGTTAGGTTAATTGACGTTCTTAAGTGACATAGTCATTACAAAAGAGGGATAAGTAAGGAAATCAATCCTAAGTGTCTTTAATTGATATTTTCTCAACAATTTACAGTTCTTGGTCATTTAATTTCAATTCAACTCTTATTGCAAAACTCAATATGTTTTAATCCACTTAGTAAGCATAATTGGGAATTTCCATTGAAACTGTTACTCGTGGGATCGACTTTTATTTAATCGAAATATTATACTGCGATTGATAATTTTGGTACGCTTGCCAATAATTAACAATAAATCATTATATTCTTATAATGAAAGAATACTTTGTTCTTTATCTTCGAGACAGATATAAAAGGTTAGCTAAAAGTAATATTTTGTATTTGTGTAATTTAAAAGTCGCAATGAACAATACTTGTTTGTAATCTCATAATTATAGTGAAATTTTTAGTTGAAGGAGAATTAAGCATAACTAAGTAGGAGTGAATCAATATAAAACAAGTGTTCATTCTATCATTTCTATTACATGTTTAGATTGTTGCTCTAAGGTAAGTTGTTTTTACAAGCCAGAGAAATCTTCTTTGCGCATAACCTTTATAAAATGATTATAACTTTATCATTAGACCCATTTACTCTCTTTCTTGTTTTTCAACTTTATGGAATTAACCTAGCATTTAAAAAAGATGTTAGAAAACTCTAGGATGATCAAAAGAATGAAGGAAGCTTTGTGAGAATACTTATGAAGAAAAACAAGTGTAAATGTGCAAATGACAACGATTATATAAAGAAAATATAAAACTCATCATATTAACATAATTGTTTTTCTACAACAAATCTTATTTTTCTCCTTTTGTATTATTTTTAGTTATGACATATTATTTCTTTTTTATTCTATGGGATTATATATATACCATGTGTGTACTCCTTTTTAGGGTGAGAAATTTTTAATAAAAATAGATAAATTATGTCGTACGTATATGAACAGTAAGATGGTATCAAAGCTAAAGCCCAACTTCTTTTCGGTTGTTGTCTTGGGCCAAAAAGTTGTCCATTCGTTATGGGTCAAAAGTACCCTTTACCTAGTCCGGTAGGCTTCATTGGAGGGGATGTGTTGGAAATCCCACATCGTCTGCCTCATGTCATTTGGTATGGTTTAAACACCTGTTGTACTACTTCACATATTGTCAATTGATTTTATGTTGGAGCCTTAACATGATTTTAATAACTAAAATATCAAGAAACAAAATATTAAGAGCCGAACAATCTTATCTTGATGAAAATCTTTCACTAAAAGCATTTAGTATTTTCTCATACATAATTACTCATAAATTACGTTGTACAGCTCTATCATAAATACTCTATTATCTCTTACTATATCTCTTATATACTCGATTATCTCTTACTATATCTCTTATATATCTGTTTAATTATAATAAGATAATATGACCTAACATGTAATTAAAAATATACTATCATATAAGTTTATATACCTACAATTAGGTGACTAACTTCAATTCACTCTTATTATTCTCTTTTTCACCTATTGGTTTAAACATTAGAACAACAATTTTAAGTGAATCTTTATTCCTTTTATATTTTATATCAATTCAGGTAATGACTCACACACAAAAATAGATTTCATGAAACTCCATCTAAAACCATTCAAATTCTAATAATAACACAACTATAAATGAAACTATTCCATGTAAAATTGCTCAAGGGTAAGTTTTTTCTAAAACATTAACTTTCAAAATCAATTTATAAAAAATTAAAATAAAATCTCTAATTTTCTAATATATATTTCATTTTTTTAAAATAAAGGAATATAGTATCATCAATCAAAATCACTGTATCATTCTTAAGTTCAAACATTAAATATTAATTACGTTAAATATTTAAATAATAAGTTGGTAGTTTATAATAATATTTAATTGAAAAAAAAATTGTCTATCTCGTTAACATACATATAATTCGTAGCAAGTCCACATATACAATAAATACATGACGATAATGATGGATTCTTGATGTTGATTGCTACAATGCTATGCAGAGGGTTGATTCCAATAGCAACGAGTAATATAGACTGTTTCATGGTACCGAGCATCATTAATTTACGCATACAACATAATGAACAAAAAATAGGGAAAATAAAAACAGAACACGAGCTGATGATTAAACAAACGGCATAGTAGTTGAGGAATAAAGAGGTCTCAATTCGAGTAAAAGAGGGTGGGCAAGCATCACATGGACGAGCTGTGTCCCTAACAAACCCAAGAGTTTGAAAATGGTGAAAGTGTTTCACCACTTTTTTTTTTTTTTTTTTTTAATTCTGAGCTACATCATAATAATTAATTATCTTAAATAGTTTGATTTTGGGCAATTTTGTAATCATGTTTTAAGAATTTTAATGGAAAATCGATAATAAAAACGATTAACATTTTATCCAGCAAATAAATAATCATTAAAAATTAACCTAATACACCTATTAATAAGTCAGATTTGAATATAAAAAACAGAAGTTTTGTTAGCGTGCTTCTCACATTAACGTAGCGTATACAAATATAAATGTAGTAACAAACCATATTTTCACAGCAAAACTACATGAAATCATTACGACAGAATCACACGCAATAAGATTGCGTAGTAGCTGTAGTAACCATTAATCTAGTTGGTGAAGCATACTTCAGTTGGCCAACAATAAAAATGGGAACATATTTCAGTTACCCAATTGCAAAATGAAAAATAAACAAGACCCGGTTGCTACACCATCATCAAACTAACTTCTACTAAGTGGACCATATATCAAACCACGGACGAACTAAATTTTCTTTATCATCAAAATTGCCAGAGAAAACGTTTTGCTTATACTTCAACAGACATCACTACCACAAATAAAAGGGAAAAAAATAGCATTTCTAATACTACAACTGCCTCTAACTGCGTAACTTGCGACCCATGCAAGAACAACTGTTTCACCTTATAGTGACATATAACATAGACCCAAAAAAGAGAAAAAAATGAAAAAAAAAATGACACTGAATTTTCAACTATTCAACATTTCTCAGAATGGTTTTGCTGGAAGATTGACGATGCTGCCTTGGTGCGTTTAGAGTAGTACTTCCCTGTCATGAATCCAACTGAACTGAACTTTAGATGTCTCCTTTACTCTTGCTTGAGCTCTCTCCTCCAACCTTCTGATTCTTGGTGGCAGCCCACAAACGTATTCCTGAGCCTTTCTTCCCTCACCTGAGAGTCCTGTTAGATTCTCCACCTTCCACCTCCCCACCAGAAATTCAAGTATATCGGCGTAGTCCTTGGCAGTGTAGACCCCAATGCGCTGGGCGACAGCAGAGTAGTTTTCAAACAGATTGTCGTCGCGGCCATCGTACATAAGGTGTGCTGGCATAGCGATTTTCTTCCTCATCATGTCTGCAAACGCCATAACTGTTCCATCAGGATCAACCTCAAACAGCTTTTCCACTATCTTTGTGTATGCAGTCTCATGGCGCTTCTCATCCGAGGCAATCATGCCGCAGATCTGGGCCAACTTCATATCACCATGCTCCTTAGCAAGCCTGGCTGTGTTTCCATGGGAAATGAAAGTTGCCCTCTCTTGGAATGAAGTGTAAATGAAACCAAGGTAGGGACTGTTCTCAGTCCGAGGATCCTATCCATCAATTTCAATCAGTCGAGGAAGGACAGTAATAGAAATGTGAGAAGTGCAGTAGCTATGTAAAGTTAAATAGTTTTATGACTTCAAAGCAACATAATGATGTATGTCATATAGGATCTGTTTGCATAAACTCCTCTACAAACATTTCTATGAAGAATACAATAAAAAATAAATGAGTTTCTTCATAATTAAAAAATTAGCTTATGCATTAGTTATTTTGTAGAAGCTCTCACCTATTAGCTTCCCTAAAGGATGATTTTTTAAATTGTGCATAAACTAATTTTAGTTCATAAAAAAACTAAAACTTATTTATTTGTTTCTTCTAATTTTCTTCTCCTAAGAGTACTTCCAAAAAATTTATCCGGACAAGCCCATAAGGAAATTAAAGAAATTTGAATCTTATTCTATTAATCTAGACATTGATTTCACTAGCATTCATGTGTGTATGTATGATTTCTGTTGACACTAACACATTAAACGGCATGCATGACCGTGTGATTCATTATGAAAGCTACAATCGATGAAGAACAAAATAGACTGCAGAAGATGTATAAAAGATCTTACCATTCCAGATCCAATCAGATACTGAATTGTCTTCTCAATGTGTCTCATGTCAACTCGTCCACTTAAGTAAAGATATTTGTTAAGAAGATCACCATGTCTATTTTCTTCAGCGGTCCATGCCCTTGTCCAAACTGCCCAGGAAGTAAGGCTAGCGCCTGTTTCATCACGAACTCCATCCAATGTATTTAACATTGTTTGGTATGTAGGAAGGGCTTCCTCTGTGATCATGTCTCCAACCAGAACAACAAAGTAATCATCTGGAAGCTCCTTTGCCCTCTCTCTCAGTTCCTTCACTTGCTCATCAAATCCATCTGCGGAAGGATCTGGTAAAAAATCCTGTGGTTGCCAACATTTTTCCACAGGTTTAAGAAGAGTCAAGATGTTCTGCTCAGCCCAATCCTCCAAAGATTTGAAAATCTCAATCTTCTGGGGAGGCATAGAGTGGGTTACTTGAACATGCACTTCTCTCGGAGGTGTGAAAGGCTTCTTAATATTTTCAACCTCTCTACAAAACATTCAAATGAACTTTAGACAAATAATACAGCAACATTTCCAATGATCATATTCTAGTAATTTTTTATTTTTAGAGTAAAAGTATTATTGATAGCAACAAAAATCATATAACCCCCACATATACAGGCATGTACCGTTTCATGAACATCAATATCCAAAAGCATAAAAATGACCATTTTACAGAATGTTCAGTTTGCAAAGCATCCTACAAACAGTAAATCAGTTTTGATGCCGCAAGATACATGCCCGTGTCTATGCAACAAGCTAGAGACTCTCCACTCACAACTAACAGGTCTAGCGTAATGATGAATGGTGGGGAAACTGTAACTTCAATTTGGGTAAATGTTACCATTTTTTGAAAATAAAAAAGGTCCAGCTGATACTCAAGCCAAATCTAGTCACATGATCACATCACTGCAGTACCCGCATTGGACACCCACTTTTTTTTTTATATATATAAAATTATTATTATGCACACCTATTATGTACCGGGGCATACCCAATTTGTACCCATACCTAGCATGTGCATAGCTCACAAATGAAGTGCACATGCATCATGATCAACAAAAACACCAAAAAAAGTCATAAAATAGACGGTTCCACAGATCGTGCCAACATCATGCCTAGGTTATTCAAATTTTCATCCAAAATACCCAACCAACCAGCAGTATAGTTTTAATGCAGCCATTAACAATTTGGAACTGTATCACACTTTTCCATTCACCTCCAACGGAAGGATAATGATCAGTAAAGTTGGCAACAGTCATCAAACTAGCACACGCATAAGTATAGGCTAAAAAGCAGATACCATATATCAAATCAAGCAGAATATAACAAAGACACAGCAGGCTCCAATATCCATGGTTGAGTTTAGACATATTCAACTTGAAACTGAAGAATCCCAACAATGAACGAAGTCAAAATTTAGTAATACGTACTGGCAACACCAAACAATAAACCAGAGTTAACAATTTTGACAGGCAAAGCAAACAAATGAGGTTTTTTCGTAATAATAATAAATAAATAACAGAAACACTGAACAACAGAATCGATATCACGACACCAAATCGATTAATCGTATGTTCCTTCACTGTACAAACAAAACATGAAAAATTTAACTAGAGAAATAAAAGTTGTCAGTGTAGCCGTAGGCCAAAACAAATTTCTCAACGAAGTAACAATCCATTTCCAGTCCTCACCAACCCGAAGAAAAGCCATGCAAACCCAAAAGGAAATAAAAAAATAAAGAAAAGGACTCAATGGTGTGTATTGAATGAAATCGAACCACCCCAACCATCAGATTACCAAACGAAACATGTTGAATGGGACAACGAAAAATGAATATTTGGCGAGGCTAGCATTTTGCAAGCACAATACTTAATGGAGAGAAGCAAAGCGTTAATTTCAAAACAAACGTGGAAAAAAATAGCGCGTCGTTTTCAGAGATGGGCAGGTTTGGTGTGAGCCATTCCAGAGACAAAAATAAAACTTAAAAAAAAAAAAAAAGAGAGAAGAAAAGGAAATTACGATAATAATGATGATGAAAAGAGGAAAATAAATGAATTGAAAAGATGGGGGAATGCATGATTTGAGTTAAGAGAAGAAGATCTGAGAGCGGAGGACTGACTTGGAACCGGAGCGGAGTGTGGAGGCCATGCGGAACTTGGGAGATCTGAGGCTGGCCATCTGGGGAAGGGCGAAGGATTGGGTGGGGAGAGGGTTCAGTCTGAGAGCCATTCTTGGGGTTTTGGTTGGTTGGAAGATGAGAGAAGAGGATTTTAACAGTGAATGAGAAATTGTGTGAGAAGAGAAGTGAAGAGAGAATGAAAGAGAAGTGTGGTGTGAGGCAACAAAGGAGAAAGTAGTGAGTGAAAGCAGAAGCAGAAGGGAGGAGAACCACTTAATGGATGGTTTATGCCCATCAATTTAGGGATACCTTTGTCTTTTCCCTTCCCTCTCTAAAACCCTCCTTTCTTTTTCACCTAATTACCTTTTTTACCCTCTATTTCTTCTTCCATAATAATATTTATAATAACAATAATTTTTAAATCTAACATTCATTAATTCAGCTGAATTAAATATTTATTACAATAATCTCTGAAGAAATGTTAGATGAGCAACTTATGATAGGCAAAATATCCTTCCTAGGATTTTCACGAGCATATTTCGATGTGCACGTGGAATTTGATCCAAATGATGCTCAAGTGTACTGTGCAAGGGGAGAGAATTAATAATATCTCCTCACCTATATTATTATTTTGAAATTTTCTTTATTACTAACTAACCAATATTATTATTTTAAAATAATATTTTGTTTAATAGTTAATTAATTAAACTAACCAAGTTAACTAACCAATTGATTGTCTTAACCAAAAGTAAACTTTCAAAGGATTATGAAAAGTATTAATAAGACAATTAATACTTGATGAATTAGTTTAATAAGCTATTAAAATAACTTGACACTCGATTGTATTGGACCTCAATTGCAAAAGTCTTATGACATAAAATGTCGATTGTACCTCACTTTAAAAAAAGTCCTACGATATAAATGTTGCAACACTAAACTATTAAAATATGCATAATTTTCCTTACAAAGCCAGAAAAATAATACTTCTTTCAAAGTCCCATATATACATTAAAACAATCGTATTTAATCATTTAAAATATAAATAAAATTAATTAAGTAAACAACATTTAGTTTTAATATTTAAAAATTATTTTTAAGTTTCAAGTCAACCATAATCTCTAATGAAATATTTTTAAATGAAAAATTAAATAAAATTAACTAATACAATTAACATGAAAATTATAGGTTTTTGCTTATTGTATAAACTTTCCTGCAATTTCACACATTTAACATTTCTGGATATGAAAAATAGTGTAAATTTAAAAAATGTAATAAAATATTTTTTTTAGAATTTTTTAAAATTTGTCCGAAGAAACCAAAAAATTAATAAATTTTGTTTACTTTAAGAAAGTAGTTATAATATTTCTCATTTTACCTTATATACTTTACATATATTAAAGGTTAAATAAATAATATATATTAAATAAAAATGTAAGAATACAACTAATAAATGAATATCAATATTTTATTGAAATATTAAATAACAAATTTAAAATCAAGAAAATAACAAGATTATAATTGAAATAAAAAATTATAACTTCAAAAATTACAATTGAGTAAAAATAAATCTTTTAAAAGTCCCAAATAAAAGGAGTATTCGATTTGTATTATAAATATTGAATGATTGTTAATATTGTGTATTAAGTTTGGAGAAAACCTCAAATAAAAATATATAAAGTGTATTATATTGGTAGTTTTCAATATAGTCTCACATTTAAAAGTCCAAAATTATACCATTCGGTCGAAGTTATATAAATATTACTAAATATAAGGTAAATTGATTTTTTTTTTACAAGAATATTCATTTATCAATATATTTTATCTTCAACATCAAAATATTTTATTATAAATTCGTCGATATATCTCATGATACCGAAAAATCAAATACTGAAATAATAAAAAAAACAAAAATAAAAAAAATTATAAAAAAGACCATGAATTCAATTTGTGTTCAACCTTATAATAACATATTATACAATATTATAAACTTAAAAAAATTATTTAGTTTACAACAAGAATCCTATCTTAAATTTATACATCATCTTGCACTATCTTCTTCAACTAGAGATATCTTGATCTAAAAACAGTTAAAGTGATAAAAGCAATGAATTAAATGTTGTAACAAAAATAAAGATCAGTTATAATTGAAGTGTCTACAAATAGAAACAAAACAAGTAATTTTGCAATCACTTTTCCACCTCTCAACAAGTTGAGAGTGAAACATGCATGTGAGGTAGAGGAGGCAGAGTTAATGAGGGAAGGGTGTATTTTGCAGGGTTTCATGAGTGTGTGAAACACATAGGATGGTTCCCACATTCCAAAAAAGAGTTGATGTTTGATGGGTGAGAGAGAAAGGTGTTGTACTTTTACATAGTCAAGCCATGCATTAATGCTTTGCCCTTCGTTAACTTCGATGTTCTTCAAACTTCAACTTCATCCATGTTCCTATAAATGTTTAGCAGTAATGATATGTATCATACGTAGATTTCAGCAATTACTCTCATTTTAATATGTTTCTATATTATTTGTAATAACAATAAGAAAACGACTCTTCGGGATGTTCATAAACCCTGATGAATTCACGGTTTAACATTTTATTAGGATTTAATTGAACTAACTGAATTTAATAAAAAAATTATAATATAATCAATTTATTAATAATTAAAAAATATAACAAAATAATATCATAATAAACATTATAAATATAAAATATATCAGAAAATATAAGATAAAAAATAATTAAAATAAAATAAAAAATACAATAAACTAAATATTATTTAAAATTAACATGATTAATATAAAATTAAAAATTATTAATATTTAATAAAAAAATTACTTTTTAATTTTTTTATCAAAATCATTTCGATCAAAATTTTAATCAATTTTATTAATTTTATACTACTTTACTTTAATTAAAACCTGTATTTAAAAGTAAAAATATGATTCAATCTATTCAACTTATCAATGATTTTTAAAACTGTGGTTATTTCTATTATAATTTAATAAGATTAAGATCTAAATTATAAGATATTTCACACCATTAGTTGTTTTAACAAAGTAATGACAAATTAACAATTTGAACAATAGTCATTAATATATGTAAAGTTTTTAGTAATGATGATAAGGGTAAAAAAATAATATTATATAGATTTAAGATATTAAATCCTATAAACTAAATTCACCTATTTCTTTAATTATTTTTTGACAGTGAGGAATTCCTTTAATTGCAATAAATTAGTTAATTGAGTTTTTTTTTTAAAATAGGCATTCTTTTTATTTTAAAATAACAGTTCTTTCAATTATAATAGAGATACACTTATAACTTTCAATTTAAAGATAATTTTGAATTTTTTTTACACATTCATTCAACCATACATTATCAAGGTAAGATTATTAGTTTATATATATTATTGCTTTTGTATATTTACTTTAAATATATTGCTTTATAATACATTGAAATAAAAATTTATAATATTATTTTTTTTAGCAAAATTTTTTATTTTTTTTATCATAGAACAGCTTGTGAATATTCTTATAAAATCATCATATTAATAAGGAAGTTAATTATTAGCATTAATAGGGCAGTATATGTATAGTTATAAACTTTTACATAGTTATGTAAATTAAATAAAATAATGGTCATTATAAAATTAATTATTTCATATATGATTTAGAAAACCAATTTGTACCATGAATATAAATTTTCATCCAAATACTATTTAACAACCATTTTTATTATTTTATCACTTTATCTTATTTAGATGATAAAGAATTGTTTTCTTTTATTAATTTCTTAATAAAATAATTATAATTAGGATTTGTAAAAATGAGTTAATCTCCATATAAATATAACGGGATGGTTAATAATTTTTAGCCTACCAACTCACTCAAAAACTTTATTATAATTTATTAAAGGAAATGTCCATTTAGACATCTAATATAAATTATATATTATTATAATTTATGAAACATAAAAGAAAAGGTGATAATAATGGATATGAATTAAGTAGTACGACATTAACATCAATTCAAAGCATTTTGATTGTCTAATTATCTATTGATAATATCGTTGGTTGGTGTAGACTTAATTGTCACCAAGTTTTTATTGGACGGTTACTTATTTATGTTTGCCACATTTATGATCCCAAAATAAATTTGTTCGAGGTAATGGTCCCTATTTCTTTAGAAGGAAATGATACATTAAGTGGGTAAAATATAATAGGATAGAAATTTTATTTTATTGTAGATTATTATGTTAATATAATATAATATCGTAAAATTTTCCTTTATATATATATATATATATATATATATATATATATATTTATTACGAAAGAAATAAGTTAGGCTTAATTTATTTATATATAAAAAAACTTTTATTATTTATTATTTTTTTAGTATTTGAACAAAAATTATATAGTTTGATTATAATTTTTAAAATGTAACTATATAATAAAATATAATTTGTTAATATCATAATTTTATATGTATTTATATTTGTAATTTTTAATTTTACTGAGACATGAATTTATTATTTAGTTTATTAAAATATTTAAATTTAGAGATTATTATTTAATATTTTAAAATACTAATTATAATTTTAAAACCCATGTAATTTTATAAAATTAAAAATTAGTTATGTAATTAAAATATAATTTTGTGTAATTTAGTTAAAATTGTAGATTTTTTTAATAATTGGTAAAAGATATAAATTAAACTTTAATTTTAAAAATTATATATAATTTCAATAAAAAAATATATTTAAAACATAAGTTATATTATATGTTGATATTATTTAATTTGTTATGTTGTTGTAGGTTTGGTTTCCAGTGACGTGTTTGAAGAAAAGTATTATTGGTAATAAACGGGTATTTTAACATTTTAATGTTGTACATGGTTGTGTTTTAATTGCTTCTTCCCTCTTCTAATGTGCCTTTATGGGTAAAGAAAAAAAGAAGATATAAAATTTAATTTCAGTTGAGAATTTTAGAGATGTGTTTTATTGGGATTTTGAAATATTCTAAAAGAATTACTATTAATAATTTCAGTATTCAATCAAAATTTGAATGCGGCCCTCCGCAGCTCCAGTAAAAACATTCCCATCAACCTG